CGCGCACGCGCATCCTTGAACTGCGCGACAACCCTACCGCCGAGGCCGAGAACCTGAAGATGTCGACCCTGCGCATCCTGAAAGCCGAGAACCGGGATCTGCTAGCGCAGCTCCGCGGTGGCGGCAACAACAACAATGCAGAAATCAAAGTCGTCCCCGTCAGCACCCTCGAGAGCATGAAGCTCGACATCCAGGACATGGAGCGGGCCGTCGCCGACAAGGAGAAGCGCATGCGCCGCCTGAAGGAGATCTGGACCGCCAAGTCCTCCGAGTTCCGCGAGGCGGTCGCCTCCCTCCTCGGCTTCAAGCTGGACTTCCTCCCCAACGGCCGCGTGCGCGTGACCTCCATGTTCCATCTTTCCGCGGCGTACCGGCACGGTGACCGGGATAGTGGTGGCTCGTCATCGGATGCGCAGGGACCCGGCAGCATGGGCAACGGCGAGGAGAACTCGATCATCTTCGACGGCGAGAATGGGACCATGAAGATCTCCGGGGGTCCCAACAGCCTCTTCGCGATGGAGATCCGTCCCCTGGTCAAATTCTGGGTCGAAGAGCGCAAGGATATCCCCTGCTTTCTGGCGGCCATGACCCTGGATTTTTACGATAAAACGACCAGGGCGGCGCGGATGTAGATTTCAAACAATTTTTGCAGCAGTAGTAGTAGTACACACTCTTCCGCGCCCCATTCTCTCTCTCTCTCTCTGTGTGTGTGTGTGTGTGCGTGTTTGATTAGCTCGATAGCTCAAATGATTCCCCCGGCACAGGCATCACTGGTGCCATGTTTGTTATACCGTTGCAAACTTCTCATGATCCGTGGTCGTCGTGTCTTTATCACAAATTAGGATATGTGTAGATGCCATGCCCGCAAGTTCCGTACACTAGTGCCTAGTGCAAGTTGAACGCACATCCTGTTGAGCAGAGTCACAAGAAGCCACGGGGAACTAGCTTATAGAATATAATCTAAGGTCTCAAGTCGGTATGGGTAGAACGTGGGTGTTCATGGAAGAAGTATTACACCAAAGAGAAGGAGCACGACGTAGGACTTGAGCATTGAGCATTTACAAGGCATTAGACATTTCCACTTATTCTGACAAAGGAACAGAAGGAGTGATGATTTTTTTACACCACCACGAATCCGGGAGGAGAAGGAAACGAAGCTTATAAAGGAAAGGAATTGTTGAGGGAATAATAACATGGCAGATAGAGAGGACTTTGACATAGTGAAAAAATATAAGGAAGGGAAATTAGAAAACCTGCGCTGTGTGGTTGATGTGGTAACTGTACAGGTACAGGCGGGGCAAACACAGTACGAACACCAACCATGTACATACAGTCCTGCAACGGCATGGAATTATATTCCAATAGCTTTGCGCAATAACCGCGAGATGCAGTGCTGGGCATCCTATGCGCCACTCCGGAGACACTTCGGGGGGTTTGGCTCCTTGTACATATGTACTGAAGACTCGCAGAACGCGGAGTCGTCACGGACGCAAACTTCAAGATGAGACATACTTAGCTGCGACCAGTTTGCGCAGAGTGGGGACTCTGTTCCATTCGGAAGACGAACCCGCATCCGCAGTCGGCGTTCCTGAATCCTCGTCCGCAAAAGGATCAGTGCTCTTCTGTATTCTTTGCTCGGGTGAAGAAGCTGTGCTGATTCCTAGTTGGGCCCCATCTTCGATCCTGTGCACCTCGAATCTCGCATCCACTTTACCCTTCCGCGGCCCACTGGTTCCGGTCGAGAACCGAACGAGAAACTTGCCATCAGATCCTGCTGTGACATCAAGTTCAGGAAGCCTCCAAGTCACCGCCGATTGCTTGCGTCGGAACGTGGCTCCCGTGTTGGGGTACATGACAGCAGCTGTGGCATGGGCTACCTCTCGGTCTTCAAGAGGGGATGTGTCAAGGTTGACCGTCAATAATAGATTTTTGACGTTGATCGAACTCCCCTTTGGAAATGAAGGGTTGGCGGAGTAGAAGATGATTACACTGGCCTGCATATCTTCAATGTTCCAGACTGGTTTGAAGATGACTGGGCAATAGCTCGAAGCATTCGCTGGATCAAAGTGAATCTGGTACTTGAAAGCCACGGTCGGCGAGGGGCGAGTGATGCCAGATAGGTTGATTTTGTACTGGCCTCTTTGCTCATCCGAAAGCTCCTTGTTCTTCTCTTCGCTGACAAAGTGTGGGTTAGCGGCGACCTTTTCCAATATTTGGAAATTGTCGAGTCGAACTCGAGCAGTTTCTGCCGGCGTGTCGGGAATAGGGTTGTAGGCAAGAGCAAGTTCGCCGATAACGTGGGTCTTTGTTATGGCTCCTTCAGAGAACCATGCACTGACGGTATCTATTATCGAAGCATTGAGACCAGGTCCGTGAAGCTCTGGGTGGGCGACAATGCCCGATGCGCTGTGCAATGTATGCCCCGAGCGAATCGACGTGGTGTCGGAGAGCGTATGGTCATCTGTAGCGGCAGTGGGTGAATGGACATGCCTCGAAGGCGCTGAGGGAGAAAGTGGCACAGGAGGATCAGATGCTGAGGGCGAGACAGGGTTCTCGCTTCCGGGGACGGGATTAGGAATGAAAACCGTGTTGCGGACGTCACGCCGGCCGCGCAGAGTACCTGCATTGCGTCTCGTTCCCGATTGTTGAGCTCGCTATGCAGGGCATTAGCACCTCTTCAACTACGCGGTTTTTATGTGTTCTGAACTCACAAGTCTAAGTTGGTTGGCCATATCATCCATTGCCTGCTTAGCCTGATCTTCATCCTCGAAGATCGGCTGGTCTCGGATGGTCAAATTTATGCCACTTTCTTCCAAACTGCGATGATATTAGCCTGCAATGAACTTTTGATCAGCATGGCGCAAATAACATACCCAGCCGCTTCTCTTTGAGCCCGTGTAATCTCGTCGATGGTATCTGGCCGCTCCGAGAAGCCCTCCGAGTCTACTCGTGGCTGGACAAGGTATCAGTGAGGATTCTCTTGGACATTTCCAGGTGCGACTTACTTCATTCGGTACGGTAGAACTCGCCTCGTTAGGAATCTCATGAGGGGTTTCCCCATTAGCCACGGCAGGTGCTGGTTGAGAGACTGGACCAGATGCTGATCTATTGAAGTCTTCTTCGTGTTCGGGAAACTCTCCTGGGATATTCAAGGATCCAGAACGGCCCTCTTGAGTACTCAAGGCGGTGCCGGGACGATCAGATCCTTCTGGCGGAGTCTCCGGAATCTGCAGATCACGCGAATCCCCTCTCTTGAAAGAAGCAAATGGGCTTCGGTGTTTCTTGTCTGAGAAGAACGGACCACCGCCGGAAGGCTGTACAATACTCCGACGACGATTCATCACCGTTCCTAGTCGTTTCAATCCCCCGAGAGGAGTGCTGTGGCGAGGCTCAGGAACTAGGGTTGACCGATTAGTTTACCATGCCTAGAAACATCAGGCTCCCTCGCAGCCGAGACTGAATACTTACCGGGAGGCGCTCTGGCTGGTCCCGACGTTTCCGAGCGCTGGCTGGCAGCATCATCCTGAAGGTGCGGTGGAGGAGAGAGCGGGGCTACGGGAGGAGGGGAGGCGGCCTGCTGTCTCCGCGGAGCAACTGGTCGTCCGCCATTAACTTTTGCCGCGAATGTTTTGATTTCGTCTGCTGTTTCGACGTTGAGGAGAACATTGAGACAGCTCTCAGCCGCCTGACGGCTGCGTTCCACCTGATCGGACTCATGGGTCTCCAATTGAGTCAAGACGTCCCTTAGATGATTGAGGCGACTTTCATCTGCCGCCTGCAGCTGTTCAAAGACAAAAGGGGCCCTTGAGTCCCATTGCTGGATGATCTCCTCGGCAGCAGCCACAGCACTGGCTAGTTTGTCGGCGCCCTTGGGGCCCTTTTCCCTGGCCTTCTCAACCTTCCTCTGCGCCGTCTCGTAATTCTTCGCCAACGCCGCAAGGTCACTCTGGATTCCAGGCATCGATGATAGTTCACGGCTTTTGCTGTTGTATTCCCGCAGAGGTCGTTCAACATCTTCATCGATCTTTTGCGCGAAGGTTTCGTGGGAGAGCGCTATGGATTCAGTAGCACTGACGATGCGTTGCCATGGGATCTGAAATACGCTGCAGTGCGATGTACATGTTAGCTTCCATAAGCTTGAAACGTGCCCGGGTGGCCAGCATTACCCTAGCGCCGCTCCATTGTCTAACTGTGGGCGATGCGCGAGCTTCCTTAGGCCTTGAGCATATACTTCTTCAATGCGTCGACGTTCCTACAATTGACATCGCCACGCGTTAGACCGGTACGTTCTAGGAAGGAAGAGGGTTAAGGAGATAGGAGGTTCCTTACCTGGAGCCAGTCCGCAATGTCCGCATTGATTTTGTTGATGGTGCGAATGCGCTCGTTAAGCACATTGGTCGCCTGGCTGGGCTGCAAAGAGGCCTGTATGTAGAACAATGAAACCGAATATCAGCTATTTGTGCGATAGCATTGATTGTGGTATAGATTTGATTAGGTGGGGGCTGGTTGGGGCATGGTGTTGCAATGGAAATTGATCGTACCAGCAGCGCCGGATACTCCTGCCGAGAGAGGTCCATTACTTCTCATAGATCACAGCTGCGAGGATACAAAATTCGGAGGCGCATAATAAGAGCTAGCTCAAGAGAAATTAATGAGCATCAACACGGTGATTGTTTGGAAGCGACGGAGGGGAGGGAAGCCGGAGGAGCCGACAGGCGCGTTAAGGCACAAAAGCTGGCGGTGGAGTGAGGAAGGGAAGAGGAGGAGGAGACGGACCGGGGGGGGGGGGGGAAACGAGGATGGATGGTGATGACGATGACGGACGGACTGCAACGCCCGACGAAAGGCCAGGCGGAGGAGCCGAACTGGCCGAGTCCGCAACAGGCAACACACTAAACCACTTCGGACCAAGTGTAGCTGTCACATGTTCCCCGCGACCGCCTGAACGCTTGAACGCTCGATAGTTACCGTACGGCTCTTACCGTCGACTCTCAGCCGAAGATTCGGTCTGGAACAATCCTTTTCAACACTTTCTGTGTTTTGTATTGGAAACTCATTAGGGACGAGCTCCGCTTCATTCGCATACAAGTCTATTTCTTACTAGCACTTCTGTTTCTAGTTCCCTCAATCTTCGGAGACGGTGGTTCAGACAGCAATGGAGTGGAAGAGAGATCTAGGCTTCTCCGAAAGATTGACGGCTATTCAATCACTGTATGCCTTCAACTGCTCTTTCCCAGACTCGTACTTATTCAATATAGTACCACTGCCTTCCAGCGAGCTTCATCCTCCGCTGCATTCACAGAGGCCCAATCCCAGGCGAGGAAATGTGAAAACGAAGCTTATGATCAAGCTTCATCGCGTGTCAGTTCTCTCCTGCTATGGTCATTGCTTCCGTTTCTCATTGTTGAGTGCGTAGGAAGAATATGAAAGGCTTTGCCAACAGGCGATTGACGCAGCAGAGGCCATCGACTCGGTAGCCCTTATTGATGACTGTCAAGATCAGCTTCAAGAGGAGCCAGACAAGTCTGATCCAGGTCATGGCGAGGTGATTGGTCCATACCAGTCGTGCTTCCATCATTTTGATGGTCTTCACTCGACTGTCTACAAATCGCGGCGAGCGGACAACACTGTCGTCGCGCTCAAAGTACTCATTCCACACATGCTGGCGCCTCCACACCACGCCACACGTGAGATTCAGCTGCTGCGTGATGCAGCCCATACCCATGTGATTCCATTGCTCGACACACTCAAGCTAGACGGAGGACGCCTGGCTTTGGTCTTCCCCTTCATGAAGCATGATTTCGAGCAACTGCTCCGCCGGGGCGCATTGACGGCGACACAGACAAGATCTCACTTGAAAGACATGTTTCGTGCCTTAGCACATATACATTCACTGGGGATCATACATCGGGACATCAAACCATCCAACATCCTCATGGACTCTCCCGATGGGCCCGCTTACCTGGCAGATTTTGGCATCGCTTGGAAGGAGGGAACTAGGGACTCGGAACCAGCCGATGAGAAGATCACAGATGTAGGAACCACCTGTTACCGGTCACCGGAGATCCTTTTCGGCTTCAAGGGCTACGGAAATAGCCTTGATCTTTGGGCGGCTGGCTGTGTCGTGGCCGAGGCCTTGTCCGTGGGACATCGTCAACTGTTCGACTCGGGACCAGTTGGTAGTGATCTTTCCCTTATTCAGTCAATCTTCCTTACATTGGGCACTCCGGACGAGAGCACTTGGCCGGTATGTCTTCAACCCATCCTCTTCCATCTTTCACTCCACCTTTCACATCATAACGAGCTGACGTCGACAATAGGAGACAAAGTCTCTTCCTGACTGGGGAAAGATAGAGTTCAAGAAATTACCCGCCAAACAGTGGGACGAAATCCTCAAAGGAGCCTCGTCCAAGGGGCGTGACTTGGTCAGCAAACTTGTCCGATATGAAAGCTGCGAGCGACTCTCTGCTGAAGAGGTACGTCTTCCAGGACATCAGTGTCTGTCTGTTATTAACCAGCATAGGCGCTAAACCACCCCTACTTCTTAACTGCCTGAGTTGTTGTCTATTTTGTCGAACATCCCCTGCACACTTGACCTTGGTCCGCAAGATGTAGGTATATGTTGCTTAGTCGACCTCTGCCTGTTAGCCAGTTCTCAGGATTGTCGATCGTCATGTGATCGATGATTGTAGAGTAGCAGGATCCTGGCCCACCTCGGCAATTCATCTGCAATGGATGCAATCCGGCAAGTTAGCAAAACTGTGGCACAGGCCTGTGTCTCTGAGAACGATGCCAGGCACTCATTGGCTGGCGCAACCTACAGGCAGCCCCGGTTTCTACGTAGTCAGTTTCAGGGCAGCCTCAGGCTCCCGATGCCTCCTGCTGATCCGTTAAAAGATAGTGGTAGTATCATGACTAAACTGCAAAGGGGGACTTTATGGGCTGATTTGGCGATGAACTGGCGTCTTCCCACGGCACGGGAGGTTCACTTTTCGAGAGAACAGCTTGCAATCACAAAGGAGGTACAAGGCTGATCGGCAAGGATCGCTGCTTTGGCTTACTTAACAATTATCATAATCCGCTCTGCAAGCGTAAAGTAGGACCGTAGGAGAGGAAGGTTTGCTGTGCGTGGGATTTGTTTGTTTTTTGATTTTTGTCTTTCCTACTTTCCCAAATTTCCCTCCGTGCGGATGGTTCCATGCATGCAAACTGCAAATGCATAACTCTTGATGAGGTTGCCAAGACCACGAACGACCAATGTCCGTTGGCCCTTGCCCTGCACTGTAGCCGTTTGGTGGAATCAGTCGGATCCCACAGCCGCAGAACTACCCAATGCTGGAAGGGTGAGTGGAGGTCGCTACGAGTAGTAGTACGGAGTACGGAGGACCCGGAGAACGGAGTGACTCGGCTCAACATCTCAAGAATTGGTGCTGCTAGACTAGTCCTGAACACTGCGTGGCTGAGTCATCTCTTGCATGCATGAAAACTCTTTTCTCGTCATCTTACCATGGTATCTAGTTTAATCTCCGAGATATTTCTGAATGTGTATCACTCCCGTAGAAGTCAGAAACCTGAGGGGTTGGTCGACCGTAGCACAGCGGTTTCCGTTCATGCACTGCGTTAGTCGTCGAGTGGGGCGAGCATAACAGGGGAGAAGGGGAGAGTAGCACATTGGTAGGTTTGAATCATGGACTCCCGAAGATGAGATCAATTGGCAACATATTAGAACCACAGTTCAGAGTTAGTTCTCTAGTATCATGCATCATAGTTTAATACAGAAATGATGACTGGTGCTTTGATACAATGTACCTGGCTAAGTGCAATGATGAGTACTTTTCACTTCGATATGATAATAAATAAGATTAATCAAAAAAGACGGTGGTCATGGCGGGTGAAGGGGCGGCCTCAATGCTCGTGCCGGGGGGCAGAGGGGGGGGGGGGGGGTAAAGGAAGAGATTACCGTCACGAAACCAGGGACGGTAATCTGCTCTTACCAATGAGACACCAGATGTGCCTGAGTGCAGCGGGGATCCCGCATCAAATTGCACCATGAAAGGTTAGTTGAAAGTTAAGCAGTACTGGGTGATACACGGGCTGATTGGGCCATCCCCCACTCAATTTATACTTTGGCCTTCATTTCGGTTCTTTTGGTTTGTCCCGCCGCTCGTCTGCGCTGATTGTAATTAGATTAGCCTCGTATCTCCCTCAAACCCGTGGTTGCCAATGTCCTCGGACTCTTTTCTCTCTTTCCTCTTCTTCTGTTTTCATACCTTCAATCATCTTCTTTAGTCTCTCCTTTCTTCTTCTTTTCACCTTCCCCCCTGTACACTCTGCGGCCTGGAAGCTGTCTGTCCTTCGTTTTGTCCATTTTGACCGGGTGTGGCCCAGCCCCGCTCCCGAGTATACTGTACATCGGCTGTTTCTCAGCCTTCCATTCCTTCCAATCCACACATTCCTGAACGCGCTTTGTCTTCCTTCTCTGCATTCCGTGGCTGGATTGGAGTGATCTGGCTGACGAACTGAAGAAGCAATTCGCGATTCTTTTTGGTCTGGCACCTGTTTTCGGGCTAGTACCCTTTCACTCTTTTCTCTTAGTTTGACATTGATCAAACCCCGCCATCTTTGCATAGGACGATATTTCCAGCAAGTCGCAACAATCATTATCATCACAACACTACACACACCCAAGCCACAGCATAACAACACCTTCCATCATGGTGCATGCGCATGCGCATGCGCATCGTGACCATGTCGCCAATCTCCACGCGCGAAACCCCGACAACGATGTCACCGTGGTCTATGTCACTCTATCTGCAGACTTCGATGGGCCTATTGGAGGGTATGTGACCATGTCACAAACTTCCTCGGACAAAAGCGACAAGGCAACCGCCGGTCTAGGTGCCCCGATTCAGCAGACTCGGTCCTCTTCGAAGGAGGAAACAACCACGATCCAGACAAGCGAGAAGACGAAGGTCGAAGCCACAGCAACCGCCACGAAGGACTCTGATCGCCAATCCACCACCACACAGAAGGCAGAGCAGACGACTCACGCATCGGAGACAGCGATTACTGAACAGGTTCACACATCGACGGCCCAAACTACATTTCAAACCAGCTCCTCTTCCTCGACTTCGGCTATTACTGGATTAGAGGATGCTGCTGTCACTGCATCGTCCACAAGTGTTCCCGCAGCATCGGCCTCTCCCACGGCTATGCCTGCTTCGCAAGGCCTTACTGGTGGTGCGAAGGCAGGAATCGCTATCGGTGTGATAGTAGCAGTCGGTGCGATTGCAGTTTTCATCCTCCTCTGGCTCCGCAAGAAAAAGCAAGGTCAGCACATTCAGGAAGTCGAACGTGAGAATGAGAAGTACGTGCGCCAGGATGATATCGCACCCCCTCCCCCTCCGAAGCCGGAATCTGTGACCTCGCCCAGTCCGCCCCAGCTCAACATTCGCCCTGTGACTCAATTTGCACCCTTCGCATCGGATTTCGCGTCGAACAGTGGTGCGGCTGGACTCTCTGTGGGTGGCAGTCTCGCACCCGTTGCTGAATCTGCTGTTGTCAGTCGCTCTCTCACGGATCATCCTTCGCCGCCCCAAACACCAAAGTCCAGCTCTCATGGTTCAGATCCATTTGGCGACCCTGTCAACCCCTTCAGCAATGGTGCGGAAGCCCCATCTCCTCTCGCCTCGAGCACTGCACTTAGCATTGCATCTGCACCTGTCCCACAAGCTACCGAGGAGGCCGCTTCTACTCCAGAAGAGACAGCTGCTACTGCGGAGACCGAGCAGATTTCACCAGTTGTGAGTGCCGCTGAGTCGGAACCGGTTGCTGAAGACGCCATCGTTACTGGTGTTGCGGCCGCAGCTGCTGTCGTTGGCGTTGCAGCTGTAGCTACTTCTACGTCGAAAACACAAGAAGAGCAACTGCCCGTGTCTCTTGAAGACTCCGAAACAGGTCCCCAAGCTATTTCCCAAGAGGCCGTCCTAGATGGTACTCCCACCGCTGCTACTCCAAGCACACCCGTCACTGTTCCTGTCGCCGCCCCTGGACCACGCCCTCCGCCTTCCGGGCCTGCTCCTCCTCCACCAGGAAACGTGCATCGCGTGCAAATGGACTTCAACCCTTCAATGGAGGATGAGTTGGAACTTCATTTCGGTCAGCTTGTCAGACTTTTGCACGAATATGACGACGGGTGGGCTCTATGCACTAGACTTGATCGACCACAACAGGGTGTTGTCCCTCGATCATGTCTATCTTCGCGGCCTCTGAAGCCCAGACCCCCTCCAGGTCCTGGAGCTCGTGGCCCGCCGATGGCAGCGCCCAATCGTCCTATGCCCCCTAGGCCCACCACGCCATCGTCCAACTTCAATCCTCCGGTGCCTCGGCCACAGTCGCCTGCTCGTCCGATGTCGCCTGGCCAGCCCAGCTACGCCGGTCCCGGTCCTATGCCACTGCGTCTCCCCAACCAGCGTCCCATGTCCCCTGCTCAGGGACCACCTGCTCCCAGATCATTCTCGCCGGGGCCAGGCCCTAGACCGATGGCACCCAGATCAATGAGCCCTGGACCTTACGGTCTTCCAGGGATGCAGAAGCCTTCCATGCCGGCAAGCCAGCGGTCACGAAGCAACAGTACGGGTGCTGCTATGGGGCCCAACCCTCGCCAAGGCGGGTTTCCGGGTCCGAGTCCCTTAGGAGGTCCGATGATGCCACCAGTGTCCACCATTCCCAGGGCCACACCGACCGTTGTCGAAAGCCCGATCTCGGAGACTGGCAACCGCGAGTGGTGATTGCCTTGCTCAACTCGGCCTGAACAAACGGAGTCACAGCTTGGTTGACTTCTGCGATACGCGCATAATACACGCCACTATGCTGGAAGCCTGGACATAGCTTCAGCTGCAGTACACATCCCCTTTACCTTTTCACCTTGTCACTTATTTTCTATTCTTGAACCCCCATTTTTTTTTACCTTTCTCCTGAACAGATATGTCATCATGATTTCTTCCCCAGGTACGCTTCTATGGAGATGATACAAGATACCCACCCCACCCCCCCGGTTGCCGTCCACACTCACAAAGACTACTGCGTACTCTTTTTTTCTTTTCGAGAAAGGACATGGGAATCTGGAGTGATTCGATGTGTGAAATGCGTGATACGATATGTCTGGATACCATTTTGGATTCAAACCCGGGCTGTCCAACGCTTCTCGGTTCTAATCTTTTCTACTTTTTTTCTCGCTATGCTATTCCAATATACCACTTGCTTCTCGATTCAGCCTCTCTCAACCCGTACAGTCTTTTCTATCTTTGACTCTCACAAGTATATCGAGACGAATTTATCTAACTTCCCGCTATTCTGGCCTTAAGTTTGATGTCTGCTGCTCTGCACGAATAATGGTCTTCCTTTCGAGTTTATTGCCGTGCGTGCTGCATGAGACAAAACGGGGGTAGAGGCACCACGACGAGCAAAATATGGAGGAAAAGGTACAATCTAATCACACTACTTTTTTTTCCCGAAGAAATTGTCCTCCTGTAAGTGAATGTTTAGTGTGTGTTGACATGTATGTAATGTTTGATGTGGATGTGTACAAGTACAGTTCAACCCGGAGCGGAGTTGCAGCTGATGCTGAATCTAGCTTAGAAAAGATCAAGTCTGAGAATTGCCATTTCTCTCGTTCCAAGAAGAACTCTTCACGGTCAAAGTAGGAAAATCCTCTTGTCTATAGGTAGTAGTATGTACCAGAGAAAACCGAGCCCGGCGGGGCTCGGCTTGTCTATAGTTCTCCGATTTATAATCTAATTTTAAAGATGAGGCACCTTGCCGCTCGCGAGCAGGAGGTTCACAATGCTGATGATACCTTCCCCGAGGATCAGGCCGGATGCCAGAACGACGACGGTCGAGGACGCCGCGTCCGCATCCGCGTCCTTGCTGGCTTGTTCAGCAGATCTTGTTCCTGGCACGCCGGGGGGTCCTCCATCCGCAGCATCCGGGGCGGTCGAGTGATCCGCGTCAGGGTGGCTGACAGCAGCAGCAGCAGCAGCAGCGTGGCGACGGGCCCACCACCAGGCGATCAGGCCTCCGATGGCGCGCGCCAGGGTGAAGGAGGGGACATTGAAGATGCCGACGGCGACGGCGATGCCGCCGGGGATCCAGTCGCGCCAGGGCGTGGTGACGCCGCGTTGGCCGGCGTTGGCGACGGGGGAGGCGGCGACGATGCGCAGGATGGTCACGGCGACAAAGACGACGCCGGCGACCAGAGAGGCCTGCCAGGCCATCGGCGGGAGGCCCTGGCCGGTGACCAGGCGGGCCGTGAAGATCCAGACGTAGGCGGTCGGCGTCTGGAACATGGGGCCGGGGACCTCGTAGACGCTCACGTACATCTTGTAGACCGCGGTGGAGAGCACCGCACCGATCAGGCTGCCGATCATCTGGCCGTAGAACTGCGCCTTGGGGCTGGCGCCCAGGAGGTGGCCGGTCTTGAGGTCCTGCATCATGTCTCCGGCCTGCAGGGCGCCGGACTCGGAGACGGCGCCGGCGAGGAGATTGGTGACGAGGGCGGTGCGGCGGGAGAAGTGCGAGGCCGGGGTCGCGAGCGAGAAGATGAGCTGGGTCAGCTTGCTGATGCCGGAGACCGGGTTCAGATCGGTCTCGCCCAGAGCGCGAACACCCATGATGGAAAGAAGGACTGCCAGTAGTGTGGCAAGACTTGATAGGAGGGGCGACATCAAGTCGCCGAACACGATGTGCATGCAAACCACGTTCAGGATCAACGTCAACGGTAGTAATATAAGTACCGTGCGGGTGGAGATAAGCTGCGAGGGCGGCGCATCTTCTTCGTTGTCGTCGCTGGTTTTCGGGCGACTCTCGAGGGGCGGAAAGAGACGGCTTTGGTAGGATGATTCTTCGGTGATAGGGCTTAGGGCAGAATAACTGACATACGAATGCTGATGCGAGCGGGATGTTGCTGCTTCAAGAAATAGGCAACGTGCGACACGACTGGAAAGCACTTTGTCTTTCACTTGGGGAGCGTACGACAAGAGTGGCCGAACCACCAGCCAGCCGAGACTGACGATGGAATCTGCAAGCATGATAGCCAACGATATCCACACAATCCACGCCTTGCTTCCGTCTTCCCAGCTGTCCACAGGGCCGGGAGCCCAGCCACGAGCTTTCGCAAGCGGCGACAGTATACCCCAGCCCAAGACAGCCCCGAAGAGCATGTGCATGCAGGTGGAAGGACCCATAATGATGCCCTGGCCAACGTAGGCGGGCGATGGGTTGAGGGTCCACAGCCAGTTCCGTGCGAGGTAGAGACCAAGAATAGGAATGTCGCGGACTTGAGGAACAAAGTATGAAAACAAAGTCTGGGGATAACTGTGTCAGCTGGAAGATCGAATCGCACACGGAAGGCTAAACCCTTACATATACGCCGGACACGACAAACGCACCCACCAAGAGACGCATCTTCGCTCTCCAATCTTCCCTATCTCTTGCTAGATCGGCCGGGTCATCTTTTGCGAGAATGTCGTCATTCTCCGATTGTTGCGCCAACAAAGGCGCCTCGGATTCCTCTCGGAACCTTTGTGCCTCACCCGCTTCACTAGCTTGGGCCTCTGTTTTCTCACTGCGCCAGCCGCCACCGTGCAGCACCTTAAGCATCAGTGCCGATGCTGTACCGCTGGGGAACTTCAACTTCTCCCGCACGATGACTTCTTTCCTCAAGGGGACGGCGAAGACAACGCCAAACAGGCAGACCCCGAGACTCCAGAGCACCAGTTTTCCGAAACCAAGCTTGAGCGGACCCCCCTCTCCTGTACCACCGTCCCCCGATGGACCATCTGGTCCGTCCTTGATCAGGAATTCCAACGCAGGAACCACACCCACAAAGCCGCACCCGAGTGGCATGGTACCGACCGCGCCCGCAACCGTTTGTATGAGGACATTTTCGATGGGGGTGAACGGGTAGGACAGGTATTTCGAGAAGACTTTGAAGACCGAGAAGCCGATCAGGGCCGAGGGCATGGCCATTGTACTGATCCATCCCGTCTGCAGGCCGAAGTAGGTGTTCGAGAATGTGATCAAGACGCCAATGAGGATCCCGACCAGCAAGGAGCGGATTGTGAAGCTCTCCGCGAAAATCTCAGACGACTGTTGTCGGTGAAGTTTGGGATTCGAGCTATCAGCCCCAAATCTGCTGGGATCACCATCGGCATTCGTGGATGGGATCGACGAGACCTCTGGGGCCTGGCGATATGGGCCGGAGGCATTGGGGGAGGCATCGCCCGCCATGTTGATGGTTTGGTAGTTCATGCGGTGCAAGCACGCCCAAAGTTCATTCCCAAGTCCAACACGCTGTATTCAACCTTCTTCCATGACCGTTAAACAGGAGAGAAGCCGCTGGCCATGTTGCGAACGAGGAAAAAAAATGGATGATGGGATGGATGGAAGGGAAGGAGGAGATAAGGCGCGAGGATTGGATTGATAATCGGGGTAAAGAAGCACAGACCGCCACTTGCAATGACGCGATATGACTAAGCCACGATAAGGTAAGATAACTAGGCTCTTCTTCTCTCCTTTGGGAAAGCAACTGAAGCGACTAACTGCTTCACTACAAATCCCGGACTTAATACGCACAATCTGCCCTTACTGCGCGTGTGTGCTCTTGATCTGGAAATGCTTGCCCGCTCTCTTAGGGATCAGAACGAAGTACCCCCATCAAGCGCCATCAGGGCGGCCAGCTGAGGACCGGGGAACTTGGCAATAGGGCTGAAACAGAGCCGGTAGATCCCCACCCAGACCATATGGCTCAGGAGGAGGAAAGGGATTCTGGTTAAGAGCGAGCTAGCATACAACAAAGTTGAACACTAAAGACGACCTAGAACTAATCGAATATGTCCTCCTACCCATCTAGCAATACCTGTCATCGAGGTAGCAGGGTGGCGCCAGCTAGAAAGGCCACCATAACTAAGCCTTAGACCAACCCTAATATCTGTCTCTGTTAGCTTGTCCTGTGCACAGCAGTAAGTACCCTGTAGTACTGTACCAAGCCACAAGATACTGACCGTACAGTCAGCACTTTAACAGTTCTTTGACATAGCTTTCACCTCACCATTCTTTCTGATCGTATGCAAACAAGCAAACGAAGCCCTTACTCGGTTTATTTATACCCATCAACAACCCCAGAGCTCTAAGTTAAAACATAGTGGTGCAAGATCCTTTCCATGGCACATCTCACACCTGCCCCGGGTTTAAACCAACAGTGGGGAGCTTATCCCCGCATCTCATCACACCACACCCAGCCAAGCAACCGGAGATAAGTCTACGCAACCGACTCAGACAGATTGCATGCGTGTCTTTCTGCCTAGCGCTTAGAAATCGTCTCGCCTGACTTACAAATCCATCTGAAGCTCGAGCTCCCCAAAATGGGGGAGCTATCACCTAGCCCTAGCTGGCTTTCCCCAGTTTCTTCCTCCACATTAGACCAAACACTTGATCTAGAGATTCAACCCCTAGCCACATATAGTGTAGAAAGTACTCAGCGATGGCACCTTTTACCGGCCTACGGGCCGCATTGACCCAGATTTACCCCCCAAAGCCCGTTTTTCACCGAAGCCGATGTCCCCGCCGGCTCGTTACAGGGCCGGGTGTATATCGTGACCGGTGGCAATGTGGGGATCGGTCTGGAGCTGGTCAAGATCCTCTATGCCGGTGGCGCTACAATCTACATAGCCTCTCGTTCCAAAGTGAGCATGCGCAAAGCTATCCCGTTGCATACCTACAAAACAAACTCTGATTGTCTCTCTCATCAACTGCCGTGCACAGGCCAAAGTCGAGGCCGCCATTCAAGCCATCACAAGCCCGTCATCCAACACCCCAACCACCAGCGGCAAATTCAAGTTCCTGCATCTGGACCTCAACGATCCAAAGACCGTGACAGCCGCGGCCGCTAGCTTCGCGGAGCAGGAGTCCAAGCTGGATGTGCTGTGGAACAACGCCGGCACGGGCGCCAACACGGTCCCTCTCGGCGAACGCACCGCGCAGGACTTCGAGCTGTTCATCAGCCGCCACTGCATCGCGACCCTGCTCTTCACCCACTTGCTTCTCCCGCAACTCCGCGCCGCCGCTGCGGTCGCCTCCCCCGACAAGGGCCAACGCGCGTGATCTGGACGTCGAGTGCGCTGGCGGAGGTGGGCTCGCCGCCCAACGGCATCGACTGGGCGGTCATCGACCAGGGGACCAACAAGCTAGCGCAGAACTACGGGGTGTCGAAAGCGGGCACCTGGTTCCTCAGCCGGGAGTTCGCGCGGCGGTACAAGAAGGATGGGATTGTCAGTGTGTGCTTGAACCCGGGCTACCTGAAGACGGCATCGTTCAACGGGACCCCGGCCCTCGTCATGTTCATCATCAACCGGCTCATGCTCTCGGAGTCTATCTACGGGGCGTATACGGAGCTGTTTGCGGGGCTGTCGCCTGAGGTCACGCTCGAGAACAGCGGGGCGTATATCATCCCATGGGGACGCGTTCGACCGGACTCGGCCACGGGGCGGCAGGATCTGATCAAGGCGGGTGCCTTAACGGAGGAAGGGGGATTGGGGTATGGAGCGAAGCTTTGGGAGTGGTGCGAGAAGCAGTGGGCTCCGTATGTCTGAGGACGGGGGGCGGCGGCGAGGGAGGGAGGGAGCTACTCCGTAGGCGTGCTGGCCATTTGAACGCGGAGTTACCAAGTTTATAATATTCATCCAACCTTCTACTGTTGATAGAGAAAGAACAAAAGCACAGGTACCCTCACCACGTCAGTCCATAAAGTGACATAGTTCTATTTCCGAATGATAATTCATCAACCTAGAGTCGAATGGACTCGACTCTAATAAGATCCTGCAACAAACATCCATCATACCACCGAAACCCAACCCTGCAACGCATCAAAAGCACCGCGAGAGCAGAATCAAGCAGACCCTAACCATCAACATGTTGATTCTCCTTCTTCTTTTGAGCCGCCATTTCCGCGATCTCCCCTTCATCAAGGTTGCAAATGACATCCAGGGCATCCTCCTTAAGGACCTCGAGGACTGTCGCATTACCGTTGGAGCCATCAACGATGTCATCCTCCACATCACCGCCGATGTGATATCGCGCCCACACTGCATCGCCACACCTCCCATCGCGGATGGCATCCCAGAACCGCAGATAAGCCGTAGGCTCGTGTTTCTTCTTTCCTGTTTCCTCTTCTTCTCATGGTTCGATAGTTTACGTCTTTAGCACCGCGCTGGTAGGAATATCGTCATATTGCCTCTTTCTAATCTATCAACGGGACAAATGTAAGTAGCCTATTTGTGTATAGGTAAACTGGTTTACTGTTATTCCTATTTACTTACCCTATGAGGGTACCACCACTTTTATAAGGACAGCACGTAAATCATCTGTGTATACTCTAGAATACTTCTAAATTACTTATAGAAAATATATCTGGGAATGCTAGTTAGTTTTAGATTATACCACATTGCCTCGATTACATCTCGCAAATTGACCTCTGGGCCAACTTGGTCACCTCTTTGGATGTTCGGGTTCTGGATTATGTCAATGATGGACGTCATTGCCATGACAACTGTGTGCCACAGTTCAGCGGGGGACTCCGTCCACCCGCAACCAGGCGTTTCTTTCCATCGTGATGGTGAGTCATTCATTCAGTTATCCATATCCTGGGTACCTTTCTCACTGTTACCACCAATGTGAGGCAGAGCCTCCAGCACATACAGGAAGCGAGTTCAAACAGGGTACCGCACTCGCCACGAGTGCTGTGTGATGACCCGGACATGCTTCCAATTCTGGCGCTCGCGCGCACGATGGTCCGCCCACCTGAACAGATGTTTTACCACCGACCACGGCTCACGGCGTGCCTCCAACTCCTGAAAGATCATGACGTCAAGCTCAGGGTGCTGACCGATGAGGCGGATGTTAAATCCCGAGAGGGTGTCGTAGCGCGTGGCCTGCGGGAGGCTTTGGGGCGGCAACAGAGTGGCACCGCGCTCGAGCAGCATGCGCGAGCGCACGCGAAAGCGTTCCGACTCGCCATACAGGTGATAATGCCGGGCCACACTCTGCAGCGCGGTTGTGTAGGCGATCGTCTCATCGATGTCTAGACCGGCCTGCAGAAGGAGATCCAGAGTGGCCGCGGCGTCCTCATCGGCCGCCTTTGTGAGTGCCGCAAGGCTCAGGAGATGGACCTTGGGCGGCGGCGACTGGGCACCTCGGACTGGCAAAAACCCTCGATCCAGCAGCCACTGCAGAGCCTCGACCTGCGCGGTCTCCGCGGCAATCCCGAGAGCTTTCTCGCAGATGGAAGGGTCCAGATGGCCGGGCGAGAGCAAGGAATCCCATTTACCGGTATTGAGGAGAAGCTCGAGAACCGCGCGGCCGCCGCGGACGGCTTCGTGCAACAGGTTGGAGCGAGTCAAGTGGAGCGAGAGATCCAGATCCTCATCGATAAGCATCTGGACGACGACCGTCCGGCCGGATCTTAGGACATGGGCAATGACTGAGTACTTCATGCTGTCAACAGCGGTAGGGTCAGCCCCGGCGACGAGCAGGCGGCGGAAGATGCTCTCGAATGGGATGGCATGCTTCAGCGCCGGAGCTACAAGGTGATCCAAGTTGTGACTTCGATCCTGGTCGTTTGGGTTTACCCCGGCGCGCAGAAAGAGAGAGACCATGGTATCTGAACCGTGGACAATGGCCTGGATGAAAGGATTCCGGTACTCCCGTGTCTGCGCCGGCAAAACCTCAGCACTATGCGCGAGGAGTACCTCGACCACCTCGACGCGAGCTCGGGCGGCAGCCCAGCAAAGAGCCGTCGGTAGTTCGTCCCACCGCGTTCGAATCAGACTCAATCGAGCATTGGGATCGTACTCATGGTTCTCAAGCAGGTCCCGAATTAGGGACGTATATCCAAGGCCCGCAGCCACGCATAAGAGTACACCCTTATCGGATGGGTGACTCGTCCTCGCTGCATAGTCCCATTTCTTTAGAAGCAGGGCGACTACCTCGTCGTGCCTTAACCATCCGCTCCACCCGAGGGGACAGATGGCCGCGTGATGCCGCGCCGACGGCCCCAAAGTGTGGCAAGTCAACCGTGTAATCACATCCTCCTCGAGCAGGCAGCGAACGCTCTCGACGTGCCCCCTCCCCGCTGCCCAACACAGGGCAGAGCAGCCGTTCGGTTGGGTCACGGTGGGGTCAGCGCCCTGTTGCATCAAGAACTGTAGAACCTGCAGATGACCGTGCGCCGCGGCTAACATGAGCGGGGTCATTTGACTGCGATTCTGGACCTCGAGATTCGCTCCCGCCTCGACTAGCAGGTGTACGATGGCTAGATGCCCCCCTTTGGCAGCCGCCATCAACGGCGTTCCTTCACCCGGATCCGCTGGATGATCGACATGGTACGGCCGCGGGAGGTGATTCACGAAGAAGCGAACGAGGCTCTCATGACCATTCTGGGCGGCCAGCAGCAGCAGACTGCCGGGATATTTGCCATATCTCTCATGACAAGGATTCATCCATCCCCACGTGCGACGAATATTGACCCTACAGTGTTCATACAAGTACCACACAATGTCCTCGTGGCCTTCGACCACCGCCAGCGCCATCGGTCGCCATTCAATCTCGGCATCGCCGCACTTTTCTGCCGAGGCGCCGGCCTCAAAAGCTCGTTGCACGGTCGCCAGGATTCCATGTTGGACCCCCCAGCCTAACGCCGAGCCTTTCCCATGGCGCACATTGTGTCGGTACAGCATCGGGTTCCCAAAATGGTAGAAAGCCCTATGGGTACGAGCGAGAGCATTTATGTCACTCTCATATTCAAGCCAGCTCGCAATCTGCTCAAAAATCTCAAGAGGTAAGATTGAACTTGAAGCCATCAGAATTGTTGTTGAATCAAATTTCGAAGGGTTCGAATGGCCCGGTGGAGCTGAGGTTGAAGAGCACGCCACGCCTTTGGTGCTAGAGACGCTCGGGATGGAAGCGGGACGGGATTAATTCAATAGGTACTACCTTAGTTTTAACATTGAAATACCGAAAGAAACTACGTGGTTGGTTGGTCGGTCGGTCGGTCGCTTGCTGACTAAAGAACATTGTGCTTTGTTCATCCCTGCCAAGGTTTTGATTGAGGGCAGGTAGGAGTTAGGGTTAGAATACTTAGAAAGCTCATAGGAGAAAACACACGAGTCCCCAATGTGTACTGAATTACATATTTGGAGAATCACTGCCCTACACAAGGGAATTTACTGCTTGCTGGAGCTTAAGCAATGTGACGTATTCTCCCCTTGATGAGCAGGATTTCTCACCACAGTAGCATTTTACCAACACACGGCCAACACTTATGTACAGCACATACATGAAAGAATTCCCCATGTCATTGCTAAGACCAATATCCCAGCTCCATCTGACTAGGGTCGCTGTTTTTTGGGGCTTTCCTGACTTGACAACTTGACTAGACCCCGTGCTTCGGACGAGTGTCCATGATGGACCTGCAACCTCCCCCCCCCCCCCCCATACAAAAAAAAAAAAAAAAAAAAAAAAAAAAAAAAAAAAAAAAAAAAAAAAAAAAAAAAAAAAAAAACTTATGCTTTCTGAGATGTTCAGCATCGATAGTAGCACCAGGTGTCTAGAAGTTAGGATCGGATCAGATTAGCAATGACCACTAATGCTTCAAGCCCAAGAGAGATAGAACTTACTACTGATGCCTCGTGTGATGAAGGAACTGCCGCATGGGATCCCGAGAGACTTGCCATGGGCGAGCTGGACGACGGATTCATCGAGACCGAGGTCAGTCGGGATGCCGCTGCGTTGATCGTGGAGCTCAGGGGATCAGTATCTCCGCACACGCCGTAGGAAAAAGTCGGATTGCTCGCGGTAGCCAGTGCGGGCCGGCGATACAGCTGGCATTCGCCGGGCTCAGTGAACAGCCACGCCTGGCAACGCTCCCACTGACTGCACCGCGTAGCACAGTCAGACATCGACGGGAAGTTATAGCCAAATGTCAGGGGAGCGCTACTGAAAAAGGCAATGGTATCGTTCTGCACATTTTGGTCGCACGAGGAGGCCGCGGCAGAGACCGTGGGGAATCCGGTCGAGAGAAGTAGCCAGACGGTGCTGATGAGAGGGAACAACATCACGCCAGTGCTGAAGAGACACAATAGGGAAGAAAGAAGGATGGTCAACAGGGGCTTCGTCTCTGATAAGTTTCGTGTGATCTCAGGGGTCAGGCTAAGGAGCTGCGAAATTCCAGTCAACACGGAAGCGATGGTCTGCTGAGGTTTGGCCCCGAAGCCGAATCGGAATCATTTCCATCGGATTGTTGAACACTAACTTCAGATTAATCTGTTCTTTCGAGGACTGTAAAGCATGGACGCAGGCTAAGCTTGTGAGATGTCTCAATTGCCCGATGTCCGACCAAACCACTAGCTCACCTCACGATCTCGCTTGGAGATATGTGCCTCGGATCCTAAGCTTGTGACGCGGAGATCAAGCCACATCCGTAACTGATGAGATGCCATCCAGAGTTTCCCTGGAAGGGTGTTGGTGGGGAAAGGGCTGTTACTAGAACCGCTAACCATGGTCGGAAAGTCGGATAAGGTCTCTGATTCCTGGAAGAGACGGAGGTGATTCAGGAGACCCTTGTGATTAGGTCAGTGGATCAGATACAGATCAAGTCAACTGACTATGATTAATTAGCTTTACCCTTTCTCAAGTGATTGGTTTGCCTGAGAGAGCAAGATTCCTCCTTCTCCTGCTGCTGCTGCTGCTGCTGCTGTGGTTGCTATTTTTGATATTCTCCCTATTTTTCCATTTCTTATTGTTCTTTTTGTTAGAGTTCAACTCTCAACTTTTGGTCGAGAGTATCTGTCGGAAAATCCAGGCTTCTACTCCGTACATTCTTTGGATAATGCAACAGATTTAGGCACCAGTTTCATATCAGACGCCAAATTGCTTGTCTGCCGTCGGATGGGGACCCTTTAGCGAGGAGTCTAGTGACTACTAAGAAGCCTTGACCCATGGAAACCCTACCCAGAAGGCTAGAAAGTTATTTGAGCGACTCAAATTGGATAGGCGTTCGAATCTCATATTTCCTCTTTGAGGCTCGTTCAGCAAAAATCCCTCGCTGCGGTGGGTCAACTAACCCTAAAAAGAACAACCGCAGGTCAGTGTCCGGCAAATGTCTCCTCCGCCTATTATCACAAACTCTTAGTTTCAACTTGCTGAAATATGTCGATAGTGCGCACATGTATGATTATCAACCATAGATACAGCACGATTTCTGCTCTAATAAAAGTCAACTTTGTCTTCAATTGCTCAGATCCAGTCCGTTTCTTTCAACCGATCAGGCTTCAAGTCATCCCATCCCAGCCCTTTACCCTCGCTAGTGCGGTGAATGCAGGCGGAACAGGGCGAGCAGCCTACCAGTATGCTAACAATCCACTTGCTGACAGAACTAATTTAGTGTTAAATAGTTGCAGCAATTTGAGTCACTCTGTCTGGTCATCATAGTAGGCTTCCCTTTGCGAAGTGGATTTGTGTCATATCCGACGTGACTAGTATGTGGGCTTTTGGCCTCGTCCCGGACTTCGTCCTCGATATAGCTCCAGAGGCTGTGGTAATTTCGGACCATATGGAGTACCTGCCAAGGATATCGTTCGTTCAATTGCTTTTATCTCTGGGCCCAACGGACGAAATGGGCCCCGCGACCATCTTAGCTGGGCATGTGGCCCACTAGACTGATGATCCGAATGGTCGACTTTTTCAGAACTAGAGCAGGCACAACTAAGGGGTAAGAAGGCAATGAGGAAGATGACTGGGGTCGGTAGAGATATTTTGGTTTCAATCGAAAAGGGGGACACAACGGCAGGGAGGCCATAGAAGATGGAGGTGGTCGTTCAGCGCCGACAGCACATGTATAAAGGAAACGCCACAAGACCGAAGAAAGCTTCGTTGCAGTTCATTGCTCCCTCTCACACAGTGACCTAAACCATATGTCTAGCCATTCGCAATGAGGGTTATTCACCTGATTCTGGGGTGCCTCTGTGCATCCCAGGTGAGTGCCTATGCTGTCTTTGCCCACTTCATGGTAGGTTTTACCACTCACACCCCCCCACCCCTTCTTGATTGGTACATGATCACTTCAACCACCGAATAGCCATGATTGACTCGCTTCTGGGTGACAAACACGGCCAATTACACGCTAGAGGATTGGGAAGAGGACATCAGACTGGCCCGAGATGCATCAATCGACGCCTTTGCACTCAACATGGCATACGAGGATCCCACCAATGACATTGCCTTACCGCTAGCATTTCAAGCTGCGGCTAATGTAGAAGGCTCCTTTCAACTCTTCTTCTCATTCGATTATGCAGGGAATGGTCCCTGGTCCAAGGCCGTGGTGGCTGCACTGATCCTCCAATACAGCAGCCACTCGTCATACTATCTATACAACTCTCAGCCTTTCGTCTCAACCTTTGAGGGACCTGCAAATGCAGAGGACTGGACCACAATCAAAGAGCAAACAGGCTGTTTCTTTGTCCCAGACTGGTCCTCTCTCGGAGCCAAAGAGGCCCTAGAGGCCGGCGGGGGAGGCATCGTCGACGCCCTCTTTAGCTGGGCGGCGTGGCCCTGGGGACCACAAGACATGGACACCTATACGGATGCATCCTACCTGCAGTATCTCAACGAGAGTGGGCAGGCTCTTCCCTACATGATGCCGGTTTCTCCGTGGTTCTACACAAATCTACCGGGCTATAAGAAGAACTGGCTGTGGCGCGGTGACCATCTCTGGCATGACCGATGGTTGGAAGCCTGGTACCTGAGGCCGGACTTCATTGAAATTATTAGTTGGAATGATTATGGCGAGTCTCACTACATTGGCCCACTCCGAGATAATGCCATGGCAGCGTTTCAAATTGGTGAAGCGTCCTACAACTATGTGGCTGGAATGCCCCATGATGCCTGGCGTGACCTCCTGCCGTACGTGGCTGACACCTACAAGGACTCAATCGCCACGGTTTACACCGAAACCCTAGTGGTGTGGTATCGTGTGCAGCCGGTCTCGGCGTGTGGCACCGGGGGCACCACTGCCAACACAGCCAGCGAGCTGCAGCTTGAGTTCACCCCAGCCGAAGTACTGACGGATATGGTGTTCTTCTCTGCGCTCTTAGAAGATACGGCGGACATCGCGGTGACAATCGGTGGGGTGTCAGTGGAGGCCGTCTGGCGGAACGTTCCCAACGAGAAAGGTCCTCAGACGGGCCTGTACCATGGACAAGCTCCATTTGGTGGGCATACTGGGGAAGTGGTTGTTACCATTTCCAGGGATGGAACGACAATTGCCCAGGTGGCTGGTGAGACTATTAGCACAAGTTGCACTGACGGCCTCGCGAACTACAATGTGTGGACAGGCTCGGCCAAGGCGTCCACCAGCGTGAACGCCATCACCCCGGTTCTCCTAGACAATCAGGTGTGCATCAATGGCACCGGGGCAAACAACTTTGCTGGCCTGTGCGAGTTTGCTTGTATGTACGGTTACTGCCCCGTCAGTGCATGTACGTGCTTGGATATGGGGGTCCAAAAAACGCTACCCAATGCCACCGGTGTGCAGGGCTATCCACTCGAGGGTCTGGACGCCAGTTATAGTGGTCTCTGCAGTTTCGACTGTAACTACGGATTCTGTCCTGACACAGCCTGTGCCACCGTCTCGGCACCGCTGTCCGTGCCCACCGTCTCTGACTTTGATCCTCCGGCTTGCGTGTCAGGGACAGGGAGCGGCAACCTGGCGGGACTGTGCAGTTTCAGCTGTGCCTTCGGCTTCTGCCCTATCAACGCCTGTACATGTACCGGCCAAGGTGCTTTGACGGTCAAAAACCCAACCTCGTCGGACGTGGGAGTGGCCATTGACCCGGAAGATGAAGCTATCTATGGTCCACTGTGTGAATTCGCCTGCCAGCGCGGCTACTGTCCCGAAGGCGCCTGCAAAATCGCCTCAAGCTCTTCCTCTTCGTCCTCTTCTTCTTCGTCGTCATCATCATCGTCGGACACGGCCAGCGATGATGATGATGGCAACAACATAGTCTACATCGATCCCACTATCTGGGGAAGTCCATCACCCACTGTGAGCTGCGTACCCCCCTGTACCTTCATTTTGCCTCCCTACCCTATCAATCCCACAACCATTCATTGGCCGCCTGTCACCACGACATTCTACTCCAAGAATCCCGAGGACAATCAAACCTCTACTGTGACCTCGACCATTACCATTAGCGATTTCCCGGAGAGCGCAATACCATGGTGGCCAGTGACTGTTGGCGCAAACGATCCTAACACTACCACCTTTACTCCTGAGCAAAGCGTTACACCCCCAGCGACTGTGATAACTCTTGGACCCTGGGAAGCTCCCATTCCCCCCAGTGTGACCCCATACCCGACCTCAAATCCCTCCGACACCAACAATCCTTCCTCCAGCAAGTCGTCTTCAACCTCGCACACGCCGGCCCTCATTGTCTTCCCCAGCACCTCTCATCCAGTGATCGTTCAGCCGCAGCCTACCGTCTCAATCGACTACCCACGCGTAACCCCACCAACCGTGCACTATACTCATGGCAGTGACAACGGACCCGCAGCCACGCCCTCATGTGCTGGGTGCGGGACCTACGACTGCGGGCCCTTTGGCTGCCCTGGTCAAGGATGCGGCTCGTTCGGCTGCAATGGCGGTTGTGGGACCTATGGGTGCCCGGGGTCCAGCGGATCGGCTGGCTGTGGGCTCAGTGGATGCAAAGGCGATTGTCCTCTGGAGGTGTGCGGCGGCCTGGGCTGTGAGGATGGCTCTTGTGGGGATACCGGTTGCCCTAACGGCGACTGCTCGATCTCCTCATGTGAGCCCACCACCGCGACCAATTGCGTCAAATACTGCACGGTGACTACCAATGCGGTGGCACTGGCAACAACGTCGTGCACATCATCTACGTGCTATCCCTTCGTCGGGTGCGACGCCACAGCGACTACCAGGACCGTGACCTCTACCAGCGACGCTGCCTGTCCGGCCTTCACTACCACCCCGCCTGCTACCGTTGGTGAGGACCGTTTCGAAGGCTGCAGCCCGTGTGCCTGGGCTGAAATGCCCCTGACGACCGATGAGACGGACTATAATCTGGAAAAGCGATATGCAGAGCCTACCGCTTACCGTGCCATGATGGAGCCCCCCTCACCCGAAAAGCGAGCAGCAAAGCCCAAATTCAATCCAATTACGTCCGCTACTATAGGCGGCTGCGCCTTGCCTACTCCCCTGACGCTGACATGGCTAGGGGGGCCCTCATTCCTGAAGAGTGCACTCAACAACAGACTTCAACCCAACCAGGAGAATATGCCCAGGTGGTACTCAAAAACAGTCGAGAATTGTGTCCCGACTGTGACACAGATCAGTGACCAGCTTATGAGTACCAACAGCAAGAATAGCCCGGGCAAAGCCCAGCAACCCACTAATGACCATGTTTGTGAGTTTTTCGAAGCAGTGCCACACTCAATTCCCTCTGCTCGATCTTTTCGCGCGTATTCCCTCGTTGGGGGTTGCTTTTTTCCTTGTGGACGCAACTCATGGTACTTGCAAGATTTCTAACCGCATTGCGCCACAACAGGGGAGCGTAATTGGTTCAATGCTTTCTGGACTTCCATCATCGCCCAGGAGAAATGGAACTGCGACCTAATGAACAGCGTGATGTTCGGCGAAGGGTGCTCGACCAATCTCCTACAGAAAGTCTTCAACGCGGTGGCGAACAATAAGGAAAGGGACTTCATCGGTATGACTCATGAGGTCAATAGCGACTACAAAGGCTTGGTAAGTACCTTTCGATTACAACCGTCCGCCAACTCTCCCATTGTTGGTATCGAAGCGAGTGGCCGATAGAGCGGCAAAGAGGCGATTTGACGCGGACTTTTAAGTCCACCGAAAGCAGAGAGTTAACAAAATCCACCAGATCGGGAGCTACGAGTCCATCCCCGGCGTCAAAGACAATATACTCAAGAGGAACAGGATCTCGGCTACGATGCCGTGGGGTCCGGACAAAAATGAGATCGGGGTTCGACAAAAGCTAGCCACGAAGCTGAACTTCCTGGAAACGTTGGCGATGAGCTGTTATGTCTGGACGGAGCCGTGGCTGACCCCCGTGCTCGACTCGACCAACAACAAAGTCTATACTGAGCTGTAAGTTCGCGCCACACTTACCGTCCTACCTCGAGTCAAGTGAAAAAAGAAAAAAGAAGCTAAGGAATGTTCGCAACCCGAATCCAGTCTTGCAGTCGACGAGTATACCGCGGACAATAAAGAACTGGAAAATACTAACCTAGCTACCCTGTATCGAGACTTTATGACTGCTCGTATGGTGGACATGATGGAAGAGGGACTGAATACGGCGAACCTCATGGTCCAAAACCTGGACACGAGCTTCATCACTGCTGCGAGTGTTGCCACAGGGGCCGGGGATGATGGCATCTCAGAGCTCACCGCGTTACAGAAAGCATTCAACACTTTGGTCACGCAATTCGAGCTAAAATCCACGTCAGAACACGTATGTTCCAAATCCATCACCTTGAGTTGGACGAAGCTGGACAGCGCCAAACGCGACCTGGGCGATGAGATTTGCGAATTACCTACCACCACCACTTCATCGTCCAGCACGTCGAGAGCCACCACCACCACAACTACTACCACTGCCGCGCCGTCTCCCGACCCCACGGCACAAGTGGTGATCGCACTTGCCGAAGACGCCAGTTCCCTCACCCCTTTCAGTTGGCAGTTCTTCGATGTCGCAATTGGGGCAACTCTGGAAGCGTGCGACGGCACTGGTGAGATCTTCGCGCCCAACGACGAGGATAGCGACGGATATCCGTATCCGGATGGGGACTGGACGCTGGGCTTCAACGTCGACGGCATGAGTGGCTGCAGCTACTCCGGCACGAGCGACGGGCCTGGCACGTTGACCTGCCCCGCTCTGTCGGCCCCCGTGCAGTGCCAGACTGCAGGCAACAAGGACACCGTCTACTGTTATGGCGTGGACGTCACATCCATCACTCCGATGGTCGTGTGTTTGTGGTGATGAGGCGGCGCTCTCGATGGTGTGCATGTGCGTGTGGGTTTGTGTTTGTAAGGTACATAGATGTGCATAAAGTTTTGATGTTGTCGTATTATTTAGATGGAAAATCCAGTACCCCCTCGTTTTGTTTTAACAGATTGTCCGCAACCGTACCGTTAGAGCCAGGCCCATACCGCCTACTACTAAGTTCTGGGCACCAGGCAGTCAGTCTGTTTGGATCAACACCATCTCCTTGGGAAGAAAATCCTAAGTAGCAGACCTTGATGGCTGGGGAAAACGTAACTATGGAGCAAGTAGCAAGGCATTTCGGAAAATACTGCACCGATAATAGGGTCAAGTCATGCAAACTGGCATTTATACGTGTAATCTACTAGATAAAATACTTTGCATACGAATTGCAGCCGACTGTGGGTCTCTGATGTAAATCTGGTTCTGCTCGTGCCAATATCTTGTATGCATTGAACAAGCTACTGAGCGCAGAATTTGTTCCAATAAAATGATTGATTATTGGTACAACAGCACAAAACAAAATCTGTAACAAGGAAAGATACTGATGGTCAAGATTATGTGGATATTGGTGGAATAAGCAGCTAAGATATTTGGAGTTTGGTTGCAGCTAACTGCTCCGGTCCTAGATTAAAGATAGGTTGGGATCTAGAAAAGACTGCGACGGAAAACTACTTTCTCCGGCTTTAACTATTACTGGATGTTATTAAATATATCCAGGTGACTTTTGAATAATATAAGCCAACTACTATCTGACCGTGCTATTCAATCATTTATAGAAGCTTCCGTAGATTAAACAGCTAGTAACAGTCTACCAGTATTAGTCGACTCAAGCCACATTCCGCTACTGACTATTTGTATACTTATCTTATACTTCAGGCTAATTAGTGAATAACAGGCATCACTAAGTGCAATCTCTATGGTCATGTCGAGTGAATTATAAGCAGAGCTAAGTAACCACATTCAAAGGCCTCCCCCTGCACCACTCCTCCACCGACAGCTTCAGCCGCTGCGAGTAGTTCGCCATCGTCCTCTGGGCCAACCACGCCAGATGCGGCGTCACGATCAGATTCAGCCCCTCGGTCCCCTCCGCCAGCAAAGGCGAGTTGTCCGGCCCCGCGGGCTCCTGGAAGAAGACATCCGTCGCTGCGCCGGAGATGCGATCGTCCGTCAACGCGCGGACCAGCGCAGGCTCGTCGATGACGCCCCCGCGCGACACGTTGACCAGCACCGCATGGGGCGACATGGCCTCGAACTCGGCCGTCGAGATGAGATTCCGCGTCGAGTCCAGGAGGGGCACCGCCACGAAGAGGACCGTGCTCTGCCTGACGACGGTCTCGAACGGAACCCGTTCGAGCCCATCCTTGCCGATAGTTGTAGATGTCGTTCCGCCACCCAGTGGCTTGCGGTCGGAGATGATCACTTTCATCCCCATGCCGCGGGCGAGATGAGCGATTCGCTTGCCTGTTTCTCGACTGTCAGGAAAATCACATGAAAGAATAAACAATTATTCCTGGGTCAAAGAGGATCTCACCAACGGCCCCATTGCCGATAATGCCCGCCACCTCCTCCTGACAAGTCAAGGGGGGCGCGCCCGCCTTGTCGAGGAAATCGAACATCAGCGTCTTCCGCCGCGGCCATTCGCCGGCGCGCGTCAGGGCGTTCATCCCCAGGATCTTCCGGCGCGCGGCCAGGTGCAGTGCGATGGCGTGCTCCGAGACGGATTCGGTGTTGGCTCCCGGGATGTAGGAGACGACGATGCCGCGGTTGCGACACGCCTCCAGGTCGATGCAGTCGGTGCCCACCGCCACGACCATCACCAGCTTGAGATTCGGGCTGACCTCGGCAGCGAGGGCATTGGCGTCGACGCGTAATGCGGAGA